TATATAGCGCCTATCCATGCCTGCTCTAGGCGCTGTACAATTCGCCAAAATGATCTGTACTAATCTTAATAATTAAAAATGTGCATTTAAGAAAGTAATAGAAAGTAAAAATCGCTAAGAATAATAAGTTTTCTTAAAAAGATGAGTTTAGAAAGCATAGCAAACGAACCATTTGATTGTTTCATCGGAGTGAAAATCAAATGTAAAATTACAGTTTGTAAAATCTCCATTTGGTTCTTGTAATCGAATTTTTTTACGCTCAAAAACCAAGTTCCAATACGTTTTTTGTAGCTGAAAAAACCAAGTTCCAATACGTTTTTTGTAGCTCAAAAAACCAAGTTCCAATACGTTTTTTGTAGCTCTTAATATTTTGATGTCATCTTGGGGTCGATTTGCATTGCTGTCAATCAAAGCTGCACAAGAGGATTGACGTACTACAGACTCTATGACATCACAACCTATTTTTAAGACAGCTTGGCACAATTCCTCATGACCGGAAGAGTATTTTCTGAAAGCGAGGCGCCTTCAAAAAAATAGCAAGGAATGTCACTATGCCACATATTATAGAGACCCAAAGCAAGGCTCGATCCAGGACCCTGGCGGCCATGATCCACTCCCAATGACGTAAGGTTAACTCGTATTCTGCCAGTTCCTCACCATTTTCATCCAGGACCCCAGTAAAGGGCACAGTACTTTCGCTGTCCCTTATTCCGTCAGATTCGAGGTTGTTAAGCATGACGTCATCACCATTAGTGTTGTGTCCATTCAAGTTTGTGGTCTGGACCGAGTTTGCGTAACGCAGGCCTGCGTAGTCAAGATTTTTCGATATTATGAACACGTTTTTGAGTTCAGCGACAAGTCCATCGTCCTTTCTCTCGAGATTCCCAGGGGTGGTTTCGTCTATAGCCGCGAAGGCTGCATTTCGCCTGGATGTCTGGTTGCCTTTGTACTCCGTTACGCGTTTGCTTCCTCTTCGTATGCATTTCTTGTGTTTAGGTTTTGGACAGCTTTTTTCGACGGTTTTCCTCAGAAGCACAACACGAGCCGTCCACTCCAGTAACAACTTTCTCATCCAGCGTGGCATTTTCTTGTTTTTGCCCGCGGTAAAGTTCAAAACCACGGTCGTTGCGAGAAGTGAAATACTGATTTCGACGCTGGTGGCAAAATAGTACTGACCGAGGAGCGGGAAATCAAACGAAGGGAAAATATTCGACGTGAGCTGCTGGAAAACTGTCATGGCAAGCAGCACAGTGATGCTCAGTCCAATCCTCTCTCCGCACTCTGGAGGGAGAATAAAACCCAGGAATATCATGGTGGAAATGAGAAAGCACGGGACGATCAAGTTAACACAGTACACGAAATACACGCGTCCAATCACTACGGTGACCGTGACGTCATCAAAAGCCTCGTAACGGTACTGGACAACGTTTCGTTTAGACGTGACCTCGATGATCTCCCATTCGCCATTGTTCACGTACTGACTGGATATCCCAGTCATGTTTTCTGGGCACATGCGTATATCCTTGCTGCTTGAAGCCCAAGAGCCGAACTTGAGCGAACACGTTTGCATGTCAAAAGGGAAGTAGGTGACATCTAAAGCGCAGACGGATTTGAACAGGGCGGGGCTTGTCCAATCGTTTTGCCCGTTTGATCGCATGATGACTTTAGTTTTGAATGTTGTTGGTCCACCACCGATACGGTCTTGAAGGTCAACACTAAAAATAGTGCATTTCATTGGTTAATTGCTTTGGCCTGGAGAGCATCACTAGGAGTGCTCTGACAAATTTACTATTCCATCAACATGCATATGGAGTGATTGAACTATTTTTAGTAACAATTTGTTTCCCGCGAACCTTTTTTTTGTGTGATTCGGAACTTTTTGTGCAGAAACACGGGCAGTATGTTTAATTTACATAATACTGACGGATTTGTTTTAGATTTTGAATGGCTCTGTCTCGTATTATTTAAACTATCGTCAGGTTCAACTGATTGACAGTTATGATATCGCCAGATTAAGTATTCGATTGAAGGCCTTTTGGCGAGTTGATCCTGGCCTCTCAGCTCCAAACTTGAACAGGTGTAGCCGCGTGGAGGGACAGAAAAAACCATTTTCCCTGCTGGTTTTGGCACATGAAAATACAAGGAATGTTCCTCTTTCTCAAATGTTAAAAGGGACTTGTTTGTAGGATAGTACAGAGTACAAAGTGATTACCTGAGGTCCCAGAGGAATAGAAACAGAAATCGATTCTAAAATGGCAATTGTTCTCGACGAAAACAATTATTTGAATTGTAAGGTCAGTTAAAAGGTATTTGTGGGTTGATTTAATTTAATTAATTCATATCTAACAAAATGGATTTATTTTGCCGAAAGAGCACACTACTACGTTGCAGATCCTCTCATAGGCCCTTTGCACGATACGGTCACATGGTGAGGAATTAATTATACTGGGACGCAAGTTACACAGTGGGACTTCCAAAACAAAGGAACTCGTACCAGTCCAGCCCGGATCGTGCAAAGGGCCTATCATGATGATTTCCTTACTTGTTGTACATGAGTATGTCTGGTACCCAGACCGTCTCGGCGCTCGTGTGGATGGTTTCGATGCCGCCATACTCCGAAGGATTCCATTTGAGAAACGGATTGTACCATTTCTGAGTGAGGAAAAGACAAGTTTATGTTCGTAATCATAGTGAGATTCAACTTAGTTTTACTTCGTTCTACTGCTAGCGCAAGGCTAGATTAAGTAAGCATTTTCTCAAACTCATCGTTTTAACAGAGGAAATCATGACCGTCAAGGTCATGATTTTAATTAGCATTGATTTTTGCGATTTTATTTCTACGATTTCCCCCTAGTTTTAGCTTTGATTGAGAAGATAAATTTGAGATTGAAGACTGTTTGGCCACATTTCCAAACACCGCGACGTTCGTCTAAAAGTAGCGTTAACATCCTCGGTGAAACACGGTCTTTCTTGTTTGATGTATTGCTTGAAGTACGTCAAAAATACTCCGCAGCGTGCTTTATTTTCAACCCTCTTCTTCTTCTTAGTTTGTACTACCTCAAGCTATCAAGAATGTCGTATATTCTCAAATCCTCTTCCGGCTACTAGTAATATCTAAGAAGGATTCGTACGTAGATTAGATAGATAGAGCCAATTATTATTAGAAAAGAAAATTCCACCTAGTATTGCGAGAAAAGAACTAATTACCTGTCGAACCCAACCATAAACTGTGATTGTCTGCTCCTTTGCATTCTGAAACAGGAATAAACATCGTACATCAAGAGATTAGCGTTTATTTTTCTGCTCTGACTCAGGGTTAACGCTGAAGATGTTTTAGCGATGTTTAAACTGTTTACGCTGAAAGTGTCAGTGTTTCTTGTTTTGCTCTGATTGTCTGCTCCTCAGCATTCTGAAATAGGACTAAACGTCATAAATCAAGAGATTAGCGTTTCTTTTTTTTCTGACGCAGGGGTCACTCTAAAAATGTTTTACTCGCCAAAAGTGTTTTACTTCTCCGCTGACGCAGTAGTCTTCTTTTGAAAATGTAGGCTAATTATCTTTGGTCGAGCGGGGGGAGGGACGTGGGATTTTTTAATATAATAATATATATGAAAAAAATTACTCGATTCTGATTGACTGAGAGCAGTGCATTTCAAGTGTATCACCAGTGCAGAAAGCGTAATACCAGTGCAAATTACATATCGTAATTGTAGATTATGATTGGTTGAAAGACAATAGGAAATTTTCTAAGCCAATGGTTAAGCCAATGTTATAACGTAAAATGATGACAAAAATTTTGTGCAGAAATTTAATTGAAAAAAGTTTTCTTGAATGAGAAAAAATGGCTTCAAGAAAGATCTTCCGGCACTTCTTCCACGCGAATGTTTTCCAAATCGAACGAGAAAAACCGTATGATCATCTTTACACATTTGCAGAATACGATTAAAAGTGAACCTACCACTTCTTTGATGGTGATGAGTTCGAAATCGAAAGACACTTTAACTTGCTCTGATTCATTGAGCCGCGGTAAAAAGTCTTTCCTGTAGTTGTCGAAGAGATTCTTGGAAAGATTCTTCCTCAAAGTGCTCATTTCAGCTTCTGCAAAGAGACACTTCTCATTTGATATGAAAGCACCACGTATATGCTAGCTAACCTTACTCTAATGTTGGCTGGAATCCAGTAATTTGAGCGCATTGCATCATGGAAGGGTCTGGAACTGAGAGTTACATGTTCTCGCTCGGCTCCAGTCCTCCTAAGTTGTCAGGCTCTCGTCCTTCTCTTTAATAGACCTTTTTCGCTTGGGCGGTTTTTTTTTCCCATTACAAACCGCGTGACATTCTGTAGAGAATTTTTCTTTTATCCATCTTAAAATTATTTATTCCTATGCACACGACTATTCGAAAATTTGACGGGAAGAATTCTCAAGAGTATCATCACATGGTCTGAAATGGGCCAAAAAGCGCCCAGTCGAGAAAGGTGTATTGCTTTTTTTGTTGCTCTCTTTCTTTAGGATGTTGTTCTGCTGTGATTTGTGAATCACAGCAGACCATCATCCTAAAGAAAGAGATCAGTGAAATCTACAGCGAAATTTTTTCTTGATGTCGCAGTAAAGAACAATTTATCGTTTTGATTTGGAACTCTTTTGTAAACCAAGTTCCGTTGTGGTCTTAGAAATGATAACAAGTATAAAAGGAAATGTCAGGGTTTATTATCGAAAAGAAATTGAAATTAACATGGGTCTTTGCAATGAGAATGCATTTTTGATAATCAAACTGGTAGCTACGTTGATAGGTACGTTTCAACATTTAAATGAAGGTGGCCTTATTCGGAAAAGTTTGTTTACAAAACATGACGTGAGTAATGACATGTATTGACCGTAAAACATTTTGAGCTCAATGAATGAATCGATTCAATTAAGTTTGTAAGTTCATGAAAACCTGTTTTTGAATGAATTTCCAGGATTTCACAGGATTTTCGGCTGCCTGTTCAATGACATACGTACATACTTAACTTTTCCCCTCCTCAGTGGGTCTTTTCAGGATTCAACAATAATCAATACGTTAATATATATATATATTGAAGGTGCGTGTTTCTAAGTGTTCATGGATATGACTAACACTGTTCCTCAATAGGAAATAGCCAGCTATTGAGAATGATTTATGACGAAAAAATAACATTTTCTTGAAACATGTATGGTCTCTATAGAGATCTTGAAATAGGAACGTTTTATATCAACCAAATTTGTGCTGCGAAAAAACCTTCATCATTCAACCATCGAACTGTTTAGTTATATCGAGTGCTAAAACAAACGAGTGTGTGATCTTTTCCGACTCCAGAAGAAAGTTGTAGTCAATGGTTGCTGAATGTAAGAAATTTTAATCTACAGAAAAGCACTCTTTATTATTTAGCTCTAATTCTCACCTAATTGTTGTCAGATCTTTTCAAGAGGACTTTATTGAGAAAGCCTATTAAAAATTGGATTTTTCAATAGCTTCTGATGTGAATTCGTCCCTTAATTCGCGCAAAAACTCTAACTTTTATTTATTCATTTGTAATTTATGCATGTGCATTCGTTAAATTAAATTTGACAGTTTGTTTCCCAACATAAAGTTTGCCAAAACATAGAAATTTTAATGCAATTCTGGTATCATGCAGGTGTCAGCTTAAACATTTGAATTGAAACACCAAACAACATTTGCAAAATCTAGAAACTTGAAAAACACATTGATAATAATTTCCATGCTCGAGTCCATTCAAGTCGATCGATATCACCACTCCGTTTAACATATTATTTCGTTCCTCCTAGCGGTATATCTTAAGACATGACTGTGCAATGCCAAGTAAGACATTTTGATCATTTAGCTGAAGTTTAATTCATTTTCGATTAAAACGACGTCGCTGACACAGTATTAGTGACATGTCTTTAGCCTTGCTGAAATGACTCATCAAGTTTTTGATCTCAAACATATGACGACAGAATGGACAATTTGGCTAAAAACGTTTTGTTTAAACATTTAATAGCAAATAACCGTGTAAGTTATCAGCTTCTACATTTCATTTTAGTAAAAATGACCGACGCGTGCTCCTTAATTTCGGTTTTAATTATTAGTCTATGCTGATGTACTGTTCAATGCATGCTAAATTCATTCATGTTGACAACATTCAAAATTACGCCAGTGGCTAGTCAATCGATAACTAGCTGTGGGCTTACAAGAAAAAAAAATCTCTCCATAATATAAGTTACTGTAAAATGTACTTCTTCAGTAAATACACGATGCCATCACAACGTCATGACTCGCTTTCGTCTTTCAGCGTTCAAGTTTTCAATTCCAGAAAGATTTCACTGCAAACACTCATACATTTGATTAAAAAGTTGCAAAAAAACTGTGCTATCAGCATTAATTTATAACCGCGATAGCCAGACGTGGTCATAGAAGTCGTTTATGGTTTAGCCGGGGGTGTCCTCTCTCCATGTGAAAAACTAAATGTGAAAAGTCTGGGACAGACCTGATTCCCTTTGTGACATGTTTTGATTATTTTACTGCAAGAAAAGCACATGGCTTGGAACACCAGCCATAGGTCTTTAAAATTGCGTGCGGTAATATTCTGCAAAGATCTGTTTTTAAAATTCTGAGAGCGGGCCAAGAGCTGCGATCGCAACTCGTTTTCATTGTGTCGTTAAAACTGTTCTGTTTAAAACAATTTCAGGGTCAAACTCAAGAAAAGCAAATATTTATATTTTTGTAGAAGGACTGCAGATTATTTTAAATATTTCAATAGAATGCAACGAAAAAAATTTACGTTCTGGTAATCCCCTTGTCAAATTTAATACGAGTTTGCGTTGCTTTGTTAAGGCAACACAATCGTCTCGCAATTTAAGAAAAAAAAATTCAAACGAATACTAACAAGGCGAAAGAAATGGGAAAAGATCTAAACTGCGGCGTCGAGGTTGACATTTCAAGAGTATATGTTACAAAAGAAGATCAAACAGTTGTTTTGTTGACTCAATATCGTTTTGGTCTTTTCCCGTTGTAGGAATTAAAATCGTATTTGAAGTTAGTTACACTTAAACTTACGTTGGCCATCACAGAATGCTTGGAATGGAAGGAGCACGAGGCACAGAATACACACCAAAAACGCCATGGAAGATGTTGAAGACCTTTGAGTGTTACTGCGAAGTGATCTGAAATTCATCACCGTGACATCGAGTATAAATTTCTTTTGGCATCGTTTAATGTTTAATGAATCCTCTCAAGGCTCATTATACGACTCTACTTGACACCCTAAGGAAAAACGCTGTGCCTTGTTATTAACCGTGATAAATGGAAAACAAAAGTGTTGAAAAACATTGCAAAATTGAAACTGTGACACGTTCGATTAGTATGTTGGCGACACGCTGCGCATAAATAGAGTAACGAATTGAGCAATATTACCTGCGGAAGTCCGAACGTCAAATTCATGTTATTTTTTTCGGCCTACGTATACGACATGACGAGAAAATTTAAATTACGTTTGAGGTAGATATGTCGCTAATTGCGCAATGACCGAGTAATGTGCAGAACTTTCTTAAATTCTGCTCTGATAATGTGTTTAGTTAACTGCTTCGAACGAAGAGGCTGGCCCCTGAAATAAACGACTCTCAATCTGGTAAAGTCAGTACCTTCCAGAAAGTCAAGACCCTCCGAAAATACAGCGACTAACACATAAATGATTCAGCTTTAGGGCTTTTAAGGCTTATGTCCAAATGACGAGAAACGCACTAAGAAATAGCCGTAATGCAGTAGAATATTGAAAAAGGGACTTATCATCGAATCATAGCAACCGAAAACCAAGGAGCCGAGTGAGCAGGCAAAAGTTTTTTTTCTTCTTCTTTTTTTTTGCCGTAGACATTTCGAGTGTAAAGTAAATTAAACATAGAGACTTTTAAATAAAAATTATGTATATGTTTTTACTTTAAGACGGGCCCTAGTTACCCTAATTATTTGGGATGGATGGTCCGAAAGAATAAAAGTGGCTCTTCAGAAGGAACTGAAACACGATGTTAAATTTCTTAAGGGCTTTCCTTTTCAGTTTTTCAAAATGCTATGACGATTTCGCTGCCTACAAAAACTGCAGGTGTAAAAATTGACAACCTGGATCTAAATTAATTTTAAGGCATATGACCTCCAAAAAAAGTCCGGGAACATGAAAACAGACAGCATAAACCGTTTTGTTGAAGAAACGGTATTAGTTATGTATTGAAGAACAACTCCCGACAAGATGTCCCGTGAGACCCGAGATCAGACGCGATTCGCCTTTGCGAGTCTCTAATTATGGTCATTACATTAATTTGCAAAACACTCGTGAAATTACTTTTTATTTTCACTCCGTCCACATAATCGTGTATTAGCGACACTGCGAAACAAACTTGCAATTACTCGCGTACCTAGACTTAAAAGAATCCTTCCGCTCATTAACACCCCTTTTAAGTCTTTCCTTGATATTCAGAACTTGTGAGCAGGAAAAAAATCTTGAAAGGATATTTTATGCCTCTTGTGACCATGAAACTAAGAATGGCAAAACACAAATTTCCCTAGCCCTTTCACGTCCTCAGGTTAAAAAATCCTGAAATGTTGATGTTACTTCAAAGCGATACGCTACAGTCAGTAGATTAGTTTCTTTAAAATGGTCACCTGCCTTGTTAAATATGCGTCAATGGCAGCAAGAAATGAATTTTATTCGCACCGAGGAGTTAATAAAGTTGTATTATTACAATAAGTGATAAACTTATCAACAGTCTCATTTTCTATATTACCAATGCCAGTTATGCTGGCATCGGCCACAGTGAGTTGAGGTCTTCCAAAGGAAATTGAGAAAATATTATAGCTTGTCCTGTGGCTGATGTTTAGCTGTGTATGATACACGGTTTTAAGACTGACTAATTTGTGTTCGCAGTTATCTACCTACAAAGAGCCATTGAAAGTTCATTATCCGATGATGACCAATGCTTAATCCTTCAGCTGCTGAAGTGTCGTTTGTCGCGCCAAGTATTATCAAATGCACTAGGCATGCTTGAGTACGATCGAAAGTGATTCAGAATCGCCGGCTCTAGATCTCTGTCATATGAGTTGCAACTTGCCGGTTAAATCAAAGTGATCAGATGTGAACCAACTCTGAACCGAAAAACAATCACCCCTTTATTAGACTCGTGCGTTTTCGCAGCCTTGGCGCCGGTTATGTTATTACAGCTGTTTTTAGTTGAGTGGTTCATTGCGTTGTTTTCGCTAGTTTCACGAGAGCGATTTTTAATGGGCCGTATCCAAATTACTTTTAGTCTCTATCTTAAAGCGAGTCTTGGTGCTCATCCTTTCACTATGAAGATGAAATTTCATTCATGCAAATTAAACTCATTTTCATATGAATGGTTGTGCACCGCAGGCCTCGCTTTGATAGAAAGGTTTAAGGCAACTCGGAAATCTGCTATCGAGTCTCGTAAAACCAAGACCAAAGTAATCACTCTGGCCAATCATAAAGGGCGAAGACAACTGAACAAATCATTTAAGACATTTAAATCTCGAAGAAAGTACAAATGCACAGCAGCTCGAGGTTCTTCCCGTCTTTTCCCTGAAAGAGGCGTTTTTGCGTTTCGTGTCGCATTTTTCCAAGAAATACCAACGAACCAGCTACTGACAGCTGCTACTAAATATTGCGAATATGCTATCATCAATATGAGAAGCGTTTTCTGTATTTGGCGATTTCTGATTTGCTAAATAGTTTTCGGTGCTCTTTTGCTGTATCAAGTTTGCCTTTTTCCTTTCTTTATTTCTTTAGTGTTGGCTAATGGTAACAATTTATGACAACAGTAAGTGCTCAACAAGTTGACGTGATTACTGGAACTCTTGAAGTAGTATATCAAACACGACAGACCTTGTTTGACCACATTTCCAAACACCGAGAAGAATGATGAAAATACGACCCGCAGCGGAGTATTTTTGACGAAGTTCGAGGTGTTTGGAAATGTGGTCAAGCACTGTCCTGAGTGTTTGATATACCTTCTCAATCTAAACTAAAACTAAGGAGAAAACGGAGAAATAAAATCGTAAAAATCTATGCTAATTAAGATTAGATATCCAAACATTGTCACGGTGATGATATCCTTTGTTTAAACTTGATGAATTATTAATGAGTTTGAGCAAGTAATTTTCACACTAGTAAAAGAACGATTTATTGTAACTTCGTCCGACACATTTTCATGATACACCACTGTAACCAGTAACTGCTCTTTACCGTCGCGTATAGTTAATAGATAAAAATTTTCCTGACTTCAATTACGCCTTCAGATGACTGACAAATATTGGATAATGCGAATAATCAAGCTTTTTATAGTACTGGAGAAATTAACTACAATATTAAAAAACATGTAGTTGTAATAATTGAAACAGGCTGCGATAACGCATAATGAACAAACACTCGAATTCAAGATATTTTCTGAACAAAGCTGTATATAGAAAATGTTAACATTGCCAACGATCGGAAATTTACAAATAGTGCACTGCGATTGGAAACTTTTAAGCTGTAATTGGCATCATAACTTCTCACATATCTAACACAAGTTAACAATGTTTTGTTTAGTGTAATTTTTGTTGTTGATCTCATGTTAAGACTGGCTAAATATGAGGAAAACGTTAAGGAGCTCAGTCACGGCATTTTGAGTTATTACCAATCTGAAAATAAAAGTTCGCTAAGATAGAAAAACACCAAAGAGATAATAATAAGCCATAATGGAACAAGGATTGTTTAGGATGAAATAGATTAACACGGATTGCAGACGACGAATTTGAGAAACTAAGGCTAAACTTTTCAAGATGCACAAACCCTGACGTATAGCTACGTTAAGTTTGTATTGAAGCATGGGCGATAAAACAGCACAAACCAACAGTTTTCAATCTATGCTGTCTCACCCTTAATGTAATTGTTGTAGCTCATTGGCATGTTTGATATTCTTCGATATCGCTGGATCAACTAACGTGCTACCTCGAAGTGTTACTCTATTATAACTTTCTTAGCACGTAAAAGTAAGCAAAGAGATAATTATAAAAATGCAGTGCATTCAAATTAAGGCTTGACATTTCGCTGAATGCTGATCGTTTAAGGCAAAAAAGGGATAAAATTCAGTTCCATGGATTCACTGGATTATTTATCTCTTGCATTGCATCTATTCGTCAACTAATGGTTCAGGATTATCCTTTGTTAACTTGTTCAAATCTTGCCACAACTTTGGTGCCCGTAAGAATATTGCCGAGACCGTGATTATGCCGCAAATAATCGCCACAACGAGGAAAAAGCGATCCAGAATCCTTGCGACTAAAGTCCATTCCCAATGTCTGATTGCCAACTCGTCCTCGCTCAAGGTATCGCTATCATCCATGTACGGACGAGCTTCTTCGTTGTTTTTAAGTGGACCTTCTAGCGCCTCGTGTGAATTTTGGAATGGGTACGAGTTGACAACGTAGTTCATTTGGCGTCCACGATTTTCCATGTCCGTGGTCACTGGTTCAGAAACCGGAGGCCCGCAGTAGATGGTGTCACTGAATGTTACCATATTGAATCCCTGGATCTGCTGGTCTTTGATGTCCTCTGGTTTCTTCTTGATCGACCTTTTGCGTGATTCGTTTTGGATCCCAGATCTCTGTCGCTGTCGACGTCGGCTTCTTCTCATGGTTTTTCGACGCACGATTTTTCTTTTCTCGGAAGTATTGGTCAGGAACACGATAGTCGCGATCCAATCAATCACAAGCTTCTTCACCCATCCGGGCATTTTTCGATTCGTTCTGTGGTAGAAGTTCAAAATCATGGTCGTCACCACCACAGAAGCTCCGATCTCCATGATAATAGCAAAATAATACTGTCCCAGTATGGGAAAATCATAAGATGGCATGATCTCTGATGTGAGCTGTTGAAAGACGGTCATAGCCAACAGTACCGTAATACTCAAACCTATTCGCTCACCCGATTCCGGCGGCAGGATAAATCCAAGAAAAATCATGGACGAGATCAGGCAGCAAGGCACAATCAAATTGATGAAGTAATCCGTGCTTTCCCTCCCCATCTTGATGGTGACGGTTATTTCGACGAAGGGATCGTCTGGACAGCGTTGATAGTATTGCTCGCTTCGTTGCATCTTAACTTTGTAAATTTCCCACTCGCCATTTTCTTGGAAATACGCAGCTGGGAATTTAAGCTTTTTCAGAGGCTCAATGTTCAGTGTGCGAGCATCGTACACCAACGAGCCGAATTTGAGCTCGCATGTCTGAATATCAAAGGGAAAGTACTTTACTTTGATTCCACACAGGGTCGTAAACATCTTTGGGTTGAACCAAGTGTTGGTACCGTTTGAGTACAGGGTTACACCAGATCGATAACTGCTTCTTCCGCCTGCAAAATGGTCCTGACCATCATTGCTGAATACAAAACAACATTAAAAGAATAGTTCTCAAACAAACTGCTTTTCATGATCAATTTATGGAAATATGGTTAAAACATTTTTGGAAATTGAAAGCCGAAAACTACGTTAGTGTTTATTAAAATATTGGACACAAATCTTGCCACTAGGTTTTGGGTTTGGCGTTGTTATAAGGTCACAACAAAACAGGCCACTGTGGAGATGTCAAAACAAGTCTTCATGACAAACCATTCACGTAATAATATGTTTGACCCCCACATTCATCTTCATATGAAGCAAACTCATTTTCACATGAAAAGTTTCAAGCCAGGACTCGGTTTGAAACAGAAGCGATAAAAAAGTCGGAAATGACCCATTTAATTATCTAATGCTGACAACAGGGTCAACCGTGTGACGTCATGCTACCCAAAATGGCAGCCTGCTAGAAATTTAAGCTCGAAAATGGCTGATTTTTATATCCAATTTTTCACAACTCGCATTCTTTGCAATGATGCATTTCCTCCGGACAACTTGCGAACAATGTAAAGTCAATTTTAGAGGTTTCCTATTTCTAAGTGTTTTTACCCTTCAATTAGATGTTACGAGTTCAATAAATCGACAACTTACTTGTTGTACAGATGAATATCGGGAACCCAGACCCTCTTAGGTTCCACGTGGAGTTTTCTAATTCCTTGGAAGTCAGACACATTCCACCGCAGCATAGGATTTATCCATATCTTGTGAATTAAAAACAGGACATAAGAAAGCACGGCCAATGTTGTTAGCATGACTATGTATTTGAGCTTATTTAGCATTTCCAGGAGTCATTTTATCGAATCAGAGTTATATACAAAATGCAAAACTCTTTTCTTATCCACATACGAAAGTATTTCCTTTGCTTTATATATTCCTCTCTTTCTGGGAATTTAGTGAGCGGAATTTGAATATTTTGTAACAGGCGGGTTTTAGTTATGAATGGTGGTATTAGCACAGAGCCATTAGAATCATTTAGGCCGTTTACACTTGGTGTCCAAGCCTTATGCTTAGGGACTGACACTTAATAGTGCCGCGTTCAGACATTGGATACTCCAAGTACCCAAGTACCATTAAGTGACTGAGCCGCTCGGGACCATGTACACGGGCACGGGCACTGCGCCCGAATTCTGGTGTGAGTACTTGGTAAAAAGATGTGTTCACGTTAGTACCCAGAGAGAATGGTGCTCTGGCACTGTGCACGGGTACCAAGTGTAAACATAGCCTCGGTGTCTCCTTTTATTATAGATTTCTCAGAGACAGAATTTAGGTCAGAATAAAAAAATATATACGCCAGTTATGTTGTAAGTTCGAGAAGTTTTGGCGCAGGCTTACACCACAAACCTGTTGAACCCAGCCATACACTGTTAGAGATTGTTCTTTTGCGTTCTGCGGAGAAAAGGTAATGGAAAAACCATTGAGTTCTAATATTATTGGTCGACTTGTAGAGTCAGAAAATTGAGAAGATGGCACTGAGAAAATTGTCGATATCAGCAAGGTGTCCGTATTTCTCTAGGTGAACTTAAGAGATGTAAGTAGATTGAAGCAATAAATTTAACTCTCCTTGATAATTGACACAACATTTTTGAGAAGTTGAAAATTAATTGCACTCAAAGATAGTTAACATCTCTTGATAACTCCAGTTATTTCCGTTGAATCTGCACCTGGTCCGAACACAGGCTTCAAATTATGTTCGTTCATTAGGTATGCAAATTGCAACCCTACTCAGATGGTAAAGGGGCTCAAGTTCGTTGTTAGCAATCTCTCTCAATCTTCCAGTCTTTGTAGTATACCTCTTTTTTGAGGTTCATTTCGTTCTGACCAAAATAAATGATTTCAAAATAGTACACTTTACTGAGTAACTGTTCTGATTGGTTAAGCAACTCAAGAAATGCAACTTTCAGAAACCATTTTTTTGTTAGTCTGAAGAATTTCTCGTGCTTATTTATTCCAAATCGCACTCGAAATCATGTCTTTGCTAATAATAAAGTCCTGGTCAAACGGACTCGCAAGTAGTCGCAAGTAGCCACGAGTTGAACTTGCGTAGAGACTTGCGTTGGGTGGCCAAACGGATTCGCAAGTTTCCTCGCAAGTACACGCAGGTCGCAAAAAAACCCATTTCAAGGCAGACATATTCTGTATTTCATTGGCTAATAATAGGTTAATGAACGTCACTCAACTTGCATTGACTTGGGTTGGGTGGCCAAACGGTGAAAAACTTGCGTCGACTTGCGTGAAAACTTGCGTGAAAACTTGAGCGCAAGTCATCGCAAGTCAACGCAAGTGCACGCAAGGCCTGGCCAAACGGAGCCGCAAGTAGACGCAAGTTGAGAACAACACGACATGACAACAACACGACATGACGCCTTTCATCTCCTTTAATCGTTTTATAATTAATGAAAGTGAATCACTTTTTTTTCACTTACCACGTTGACGATTTTAACCAGATCAAATCCAAAGGAGACATTAATTGTGCTTGAGAGATTAGTCAGCGGCAACAGGTCGACGCTGTAGTAGCTGTCATTGAACAATCGTTTATGCAGTTTCTTTTCTGGGCTGAGATCTTCACCAAGCGTTATTCCTAAAGTACACAGGAAATACATAGAAACCTCCTCTATTTGTATTGAAAATAAAAAATAAATTAATTACAATATTTAGAGAGGAAGCCACATCAGCTCTAGCTTGTTTTTATGAGGGTCCTCCATCCTGGTCGAATTGGAATTTGGGAATATTGGTTTGAGCGGACGGAGGAAAACCAGAGAACCCGGAGAAAAACCCTCAGAGCAAGGAGAGAACCAACAACAAACTCAACCCACATATGGCACCGGGCTGGAATCGAACCCGGGCCACATTGGTGGGAGACGAGCGCTCTCGCCACTACGCTATCCCTGCTCTTTTTGTTATTTATATTTGTTCACGTGCATTACCTGTTTCTAGAAGTGAACGGAGGTTTAGTTCCGGAATCGAGAATTCGAACCTCGTGAGATAAAAACTATGAGCTCAGAGGAAAGAGCAAAGCAAAGCAAACGAGACCAATATTCCCCACCAAGAAAAGAACAATCAGGTTGCCGTCATAAAAGTTTAACGGAAATTGCCTGCCAAACCGATGAAGCAAGGAAGAGGTCTACTTATCCAATACAAACTGTTTTCTTTGGTACAATGTTTTGAAATTGAAAACCATAAATTTTTCGCCGAACCTAATTTGCAAATTTCGGACCGCCCAAGGAACCAGTGACAATTCTCCCTGACATCGTGGACCAGTTTTTGATAAAATTAGTATGCTCCGTCACGTGACGTGTTTAGACCAATCGCTTGTAAGGAGAAGCACTGATAAGCCATAAGTTACCAATCCTGGATGGAATTTGAACAAGTCGGTCTGGTCTGGAACAGGACTTTTGAGCCCATATTATAGTATCCTCTATAATCACAACACGTTCAAGTTTTGTGCTATTTTAAGACGTTATACATTAAAATCTTTGCAGCTTACCTGTTGATAAAATGAATCCAAGAAGATCAACTAAAATGATAAGCTTTCTCTGTCTCTGGAAAAACATCTTCTTTCGTCCATCATTCATGTGCCTTCTATCATGCAAGTAAATTCATGGAATTAGGTTCTCTTTCGCTTTAGTTTAAGAATACATATCAAACAAGCTTGAGACGGTCTAACTTGACCTCTCGAGAAATCTCGAATTAAATTTGTACAGGTATTCAAATGATTTTGAGTGTAATTTGTAATAAATAACTGAGCCCAAGTCAATTTTTCAAAGACTAAAAAAGATTGCACCAGCCCGTAGAGTGAGTGCAATCTGTATTGAGTATTTTAAAAATACGAGTGCTTAGTTATTCCATATTGCACGAGAAAAAAATCGTTTGGCTACTTGTTAATAATATGCATGCAAGTTAATTTCAACTTTCTGCCCGTAATATTAAATTTTTAGCACTCAATTTCAACTTTCTGCACTGTTTTGGATTGATACTGCTAATGAAGTTATCAGTGGCTTGACACAAAAACGAGGCGACAGGTCAATTCGGCATTGTATTGACCCTTTCGCCTCGTTTGCACGCCTTTTAAAACAAAAGAATATTTGACCTCAGACTAAACTGACCAGCCCTCAGCCAATAAGCATGCCTAGATTTTTGCATTTATGTCCCTCTATTGTGTGATGTCTTTTGACTGAGCTATGTTAACACGCCACTCAGTTTAATTTCATCTCTCGTCTCAATGTTTGTTTTGTTTTGTTTTGTTTTTTGGAAAATACGGGCCATGCATTCCCTACGAGCCAGTTTGTTTACCCAATACATCAAATAAATCGTAAACTACTCGGATATTTTCGACTTGTTTTATATAATGAAGAAACAAAAACGAACGTAACTGTGACGTCATCGAAGCGTTTTTCTTACAATAGATAAGCAAGAACCAATCAAAATAATAACAATAATAATAATAATAATAATAATAATAATAAAATATTTATATAGCGCCAATCCACTATTTGTCCATGGCGCTTTACATTAAATAA